CCCGCAGTTCCTCGCGTGCCCGGCCGCGGCATAACCTCGCCGCCCGCGGGCTTCCGTGCCAGAGGCCTGAGTAAAGCGAGCTGCTGCTGCGGCCCCCCCTCCAGGCCTAGGCCTGCTCCCAGGGGCTCCCTGATTCTCCTTCCGGCATAATCACCTTCTCCTAGGGCGCCCCTGGAAGGCCTAGAATTAGTGACAATGGTAAAACGGGCAGTGCCTTGTGTAAGTTAGGCTGTTTGTCCTCTGGATTCTGGCTGCGGCTCAGGGCCTGCCCTGCTCTTCAGGGGACCCGGCATCCACTATTGTCCAGGCGCCAGGTGGGGGACCTTCCTCCAGTGGTCACTCCTGCTTGGGGCAGCCTCCCTGCCGGTGACCTGGAGGCCTCCACCCACAAGCTACTTTCTGGTCCAAAAGCTCCCCTAGCAGCCCCACTTCCCGTTCTTCCCATCCTCGCAGGGGGATGGCCGGGGCGGGCGTTGGGGTCATTGGCTCAATTCAGGTGGATGATATGCATGAGATTTTATCCCTGAGCTGGTGTCATTCTGGTGACAGGCGAGCTGTGCCTGGAGACTGGAGTTTATGTTCTTGGGAGCAGAGGTTCCCGTATCCACCCCTGTCTTCTTTACAGTCCATCTTTCTGGCTCCTGTGTATGCCAACCTCCAGTCACTCCCTGCCTTCCCTTGCAACCTGTGATTCACCCACACTGGCTCATTCAGCTTCATTCCTTCCTAACCCAGGTCCTTTGCACATGCTGTTCCTGCTGCCTGGAGTGCTCTCTTTGCCTCTGTCACCTTGGCCTAGGTCCCTGGGGGGGTGGCCCGTAGACTAAGTCAGAGTTTTCTAGTTTATTTATTTATTTATTTTAAAAAAGATGGCCGGTAAGGGGATCTTAACCCTTGACTTGGTGGTGTCAGCACCACGCTCACCCAGTGAGCAAACCGGCCATCCCTATATGGGATCCGAACCCGGGGCCTTGGTGTTATCAGCACCGCACTCTCCCAAGTGAGCCACGGGCCGGCCCAAGAGTTTTCTAGTTTAAATGCCTCCATAGTTCCTTGTATTTCAGCACTATCATGGTTGTAATTTTGTGTTTGTGTGGCTGTTTCAACTCTTCCCTCCACTAGACTGCTCCATGAAGGCAGGGTCTTTCTGCATTCATTGCTGTATCCCCATTGCTTAGTCTAGTGCCTGGTGTGTGGCTACCACTCCTTATGTATTTGTGGAGTATTTCACACACGCATGCACTGAAAGATGAATATAGAGCTTCAGGGGGCAGGTTCTCAAGTGCCATGGCTGCTTCAGCCCCCCCCACCCATGTCCTAGTTAGAGAACGTCTGGGGTTGGAGATAAAAAAGCAGGGAATACAATACCCCTAGATTAGCCTGGAAGTTGGGGGTGCTTCCAGCATCCTGATCTCTGACCCTCTTATAATTGCCAACAGGTCTCTCCGCCAGGACGTGTGGATGTCTACTCACCGAGCCTCATGGTAGGAAGCCTGACTGCCCCCGTTCTCTTACTTGTCCTGCAAAGCCTCTACCTCCTACTCTGGGCATATACCCTGCCTTGGCCCTCACCAGGCTAAGGCAGTCCCTTTGCTACTATCCCCAAGGCAGTGAGCAAACCCCTGCCCAGACCAGGGCCCACCGGAAGCTCTTGAGGGGAGGCGGGTTGCATGATCACAGACTGGTTCTTTCCCTCTCCCACAAACTCCCCCTCCTCAGGGGCATTTGACAGACTGCCGGGCGTGCTGCCTTTTCTGTCAGAGAAGCCCAGGTGATTGTCTCCCCCAATCCTGTGGCGCACCTGCCCGAAACACACCGAGGTGGCGCCAGAATGGGGCTGGCACCCAGGGATCCCTGGGGTGCTGGTGTGTGTCCTTTCAGGAGGCGGTGACATTTGGCGATGTGGCTGTGCACTTCTCTCGGGAGGAGTGGCAGTGTTTGGACCCTGGCCAGAGGGCTCTCTACAGGGAGGTGATGTTGGAGAACCACAGCAGTGTGGCTGGACTAGGTGAGACTGCACCTCGGGACCCCTCCCCTGCGTCATTAGTCAGTACCCACCCAGCCAGGCCTCTGTCAGAGGCTGGGGATGTGAAGACTGAGCGCTCAGGCCCTTGTGGACTAAGCAGGGACCTTGGGCACGTGAATGTGCCAGGCTGCCTCCAGGCTTTGCATATGTCCTGTGATTCAGCTCCCGTAGGGTAGGTGGAATTCTGGGAGCTAATAAAGCTTTTCTCCTTAATCTGTTGAATTAACTTGTGAGAAATAGAATCCAAACTTGAAATTGAAATTGCTTAGGCAAAAAAGAGAAATGATTGGCTCAGTGGACCCCAGGAAGTGGTTGTACAGCCAGAGCAAGGGGTTGCAGCGATGCCCTCAGGCCACATAGTGGATGCCACCGTCAGTCTTCCCCTCCCATCGCCACCATCAGCACAGGCAGCCACTCCAGCGCCTTTCAAGTCTCTGTGTGTGTGTGTGTGTGTGTGTGTGTGTGTGTGTGTGTGTGTGTGTGTGTGTTTAAAGAGCTCTCTCAGATTCATCTAGACGTGGTTCACCGTGTGTCACTGAAGTAGAAAGGAAAGGGCACGTGGCATGCATCAGCTGGGCTGTCCCTAATGTTTCTTCATTTCCTGTCACTCTCTGGCTCGGCTGTCTGTTTCTGTGCTTCCCACATGGTGGCAGCCTGTCTGGCCATCGAGAGGCATGTAGCCTTTCTGAAGCGTTGTTGGGGTTTTCTTGCATCCAGCAAGGTTGACTTGAGCTTTCTTGCCTGGGGTCTCAGTGGCAAACCACACAGCTTTATCCGCTGGGCCCGTCTTCCTTTCCCAGGCCCGGGTGCACACCGCTGCTGATGTGTCCTGGCTGGAATTGCAGTCACTCCTGCAGCGAGTTTGCTTCTCCATTCTCAAAGGTGCACCCGCCGCCCTTTTTCCACGGCTTCTGCTCGTGCAGTAACTTTTTGCTTCAGTGCAGAGTTACAGGATAATCTCTTTGAAGACGGTGTAGAGAGCAGTTAAACTCAGCTCGTGTTGTGCGACGGTGCAGGAGACTCAAGTGCAGCAATAACGATCTGAGCAGCTGTGCTGAGTGCGCAGGCGGCGACCTCGTGTGTCCGAGTGCACGGGCAGTGACGGCGTGTTATAGCCACCACCTGGTTGATGACATCAGTCCCGAGGTGTGTCCCAGGTTTTGAGATGCGCAAGCGTGTTGTGAGGAGTCTGTCCTGGAGCAGCCCAGGTGCGATGCTGCCCTGTGGGTCTTGTGTATCGTGAACACCTTCCCCCTTTCCCGTGTTTATCACCTGGTCAGGTCAGGTCTTGATGTCATCGAATACTTCAGTTTTTCCCTTATGGGTTGTGCCTTTGAAGTTTTATTAAAGGTTCTTTTCTACTGCCAGGTCACTGAGTGGCCTACGTCATCTCCGTGGACCAATGCAGTGTGTCTTTCCACGTGGGCAGGGCTCCACCGACGGGCTGCAGTGAGGTGGAAATGTGGCTCTACTTTGTGCAAACACGGCCATCTGCCCAGCACCGTCTGCGAAACGGTCTGTCCTCCTGTGGGTGCGCGGAGCCCCTGTTCCATGTAGAACATGGTGTGTTTCTCAGCTCTCTTCTCACCCCTGAATCTCTCTCACGGGCTGGCTTCCTGCTTTTTGTTTGTTTGGTTTGGTTTTCTGTATTTGGGCGGATTTTTGAATTTGGTTTTTGATTTGGTTTTGTAGAATGCCTTAATACCTGGTGGTATTTTACGGTAAAAATTTTACAGTAAAAATCAGCCTTTTTACTCTTCCTAAAGGTTCCCTTGCCCACTCATGGGTGAGAGGGTAATTCTTTCATATACATTTCAGAATAAGTTGAATTCCTCAAAAATCCTGCTGGAACTTTTATTGCTTTGAATCTGTAGGTTGTATGAAGGTAACTGACAACTTTCTGACATAACTGTTCCCATCCGAGACCATCGAGACCATCGAACGTGCCTCTATTCTGCTTACATTCTCCTTAATTGGTGTTCGAAACAGTGGTCTCCTGAGTCTAGAAGCTGTAGTTTTTGTTGCTTTGTGAATATCTTTTTTATGTTGCCGTCTTTTTAGCTGATCACTGCTGCACACAGAAGGACCGTTGGCTTTGGAGGGCTGATCTTGTATTTGGAAACTTTGCAGAACTCCCTAGCTAGGTTAGTGTTAGTCAGCTATTCGCTGTGTTCTCCAGGAGGAGGGTGCCTGCCAAGGACAGTTTCGTAATTTCCTTCCCAGCCCTCCCTCGTCATGTCTCTAGACCTTAGCGGTGGCCAGTGCAGTGTTGAACAGGACCATGTGGGAATACTTGTGTTCTTGATTTTAAAGGGAATGTATCCACAGAAGTACAGGAGAAGTTGGTTAAGAAGTTTTTTTTTTTTTTTTTTTCCTTTTTGTCTTTTTTCGTGACCAGCAACGGATCGCAACCCTCAGTGTCGCGCCCGCACCTTGCTCAGCCAGTGAGCGGCCGGTCTGTATGTGGGATCCAAACCCTCGGCAGGAGCGCCGCTGCACTCCCAAGTGGCGCACTGTAGCAGTGCACCACCAGGCCGGCCCAAGAAGTTTTGTTTTTAATCATAAATCATAAATGTTGAATTTCAAATTTTCCTGCATTAATTGAGATATGGTATCTATCTTTGTTACTGTAGTAAATTACATTGCTCTACTTAAATCATGATATTTATATATAAATTTTGATATTCTTTTGGACTCAGCCAGCCAATATTGTATTTTGGATTTTTGTATCCCTGTTCATAAGCAAAATGGACTTACATATTTCTTTTTGTGTATTGTTCTTATGTAATTTTGGCATTTCTGGCAAATGGCATTTGGCATCCAGGTTTCATAAAGTGAGCCTGCACCTTTTGCTGTCTTTTTCAATTTCTGGGAGAATTTATAGGGGTGGAATTAATAGAATCTTCAAGCTTATGTTAGCACTCATCCATAAAACTGTCTGGGGCTTGGGATTTGGGGAAGGAAGGTCTCGGAGTAGTATTTATGTTTCTTTAACGTGTAATGGTCTACTCAAGCTTTTGAATTTCCATTTGTGCTAATTTTGTCACTTCCGGTTTTTCTACAAATTGATCTATTCGTTTAGATTTTTTTTTTTTTTTGGCATGTATTTGTTTATAACACTCTTTTATATTTAATTTATGTTCGTAGTTGTTTCCCTTATTTTTTATTTTTTGGCAGCATCTTCTCACTAAGTTGACCTTGATTGGTTTTGCCACGAGACTGTCACATTCATCTTTTCAGAGAGCTGGCTTTTGTTTTGCCAGGCTTTTTGCAGGGAGGGGGGTGGGAGTGGGGATGTTGTCAGATGTGTTTGTTCTCCATTTCACTGAACCCTGCTCCACCTTTTTCTTTCTTTTCATTTAATTTGGTTTGCTGTTTTGTTCCCAACTTTTTGAGCTTAACATTTGCCTATTTGTGTTTTACCGTTCTTGTTTCTAGTAAGTGTATTTTACAATATCTTATCGTTCATAATGCTTCATCTGAATCGTATAAATCTTGACTTGTAATAAATATAATTGCTACTTAGGAATTCATTACTTAGTTTCAAGTAATAGTTTCTTCGCTACCTTTCTGTGGTTAACCTCACAGTGAGCCCATTTGGCTGGGTGCAGGTCTGTGGCATTGTTCTTTGGTATGTCTATGACTCTCTGCATCCTGACCCATGGAGGTTTCTCTGTTCCCTGTGTGCTTGGAGAGAACACATGTTTGTGTTGAGTGTGGAGTCCTGCCTGCATCTTAGGGCTTGAGTTTGTTGGCTGTAGACCTTTAGGGTCTGTCTGCCTGCTGGAGGGCTTGGCTGGCCTTTTGATTGGATGCCTGTCTCTGTACCAACCTGCAGTTAAGGGAGTGTCAGCTGCTCCACTGCATGGCAGCTGGTGTGCCCAGGGGGCACTCAACAGGTCTCCATCACTCTGCGGTCTGTTGAGGGGGACACAAGGACTCGAGGTGGGAGGCCAGCAGGTGAGGGCTGGAGCTTAGAGCCTTCAGATTTAATGATTTAAAACCTACTTCAAGGGCTGACTGGTTGCCCCATCAGTTAGAGCGCAGTGTTAACACCGAGGTCCAGGGTTCAGATCCCCGTACTGGCTAGCTGCCAAAAACAAAACAAAAAAACCCACTCCATTTGCTTGTTCATTTCTGTTGTTTGTCTTGTTTCTTAACACCCCTCCCTCTCGGAGCACCCTGCTGTCTGAACTGAAGGACAGCCCGGCTCCACAGCGGGAAGCCCTGGCTTATGCTTGAGACTCTCCTTCTCTCTGCCCGACTTCCAGGGGTGGAGCCATCCTGTTCTTTGCAGACTCCGGGCGGCAGGATGCCCTGGAGATTGTGGGAGTCCAGGTCCCTCTCTGTCCAGTCTCAGGAGCTGCACAGATCTGGACAGAAAGGGCAACTGTGTCCACTCTGTGCCCAGATCCTCACCCCGCTGTACCCCCCAAAGCTCTTCTTCCCGCACCCCTGGAAACCAGGGCAGGCTGAGCCCTGTTCTTCACTCCTAGCTCTGCTGATGCCATCTCCTCTTCTGCCTCACACACAGCAGGATTCCTGGTCTTCAAGCCTGAGCTGATCTCCCGGCTGGAGCAGGGACAGGAGCCATGGGTCCTTGACCTGCAGGGAGCGGAGGGGACAGAGGCGCCAAAGACCCCCCTGACAGGTGAGGCTCAGGCCCAGGTGTAGGGCAGCTATGGGGTGAGGAGAACTGGCAAGTGGGGCCTCCAGACAGTGGGAGGCTGTGCTGGGCTGCCTGGGGGTGCTGTGGGGAGGGGCAGGCCTGAAGAAGGAAGCGTAGACCAGTTGTGGGGCTGCCTCAAGAGACACCAAGTCACAGAAAAGCAAGGACCCAAAACATCTGTGCATTTCAGCAAAAACAGAGTTTTTTAAAAGTCATACCACATTTTGTTCAATTTCTAATTTTACTGATATTCTTATTGAGTAATAGTACTAATCTGTGGATCCAAGTGAGACATTAGGTTTGTTTGCTGTTTCAGCTGTGGAACCTGGAAGTGGGTGGGCTGTGCTCCCGGCAAAGGCTCCAGGGCAGGGCCTGCGCTTGCCTTTTCCGCTTACGCTTATCGTGGTCTTCTGCAGTCCTCGGTGCCCCTGGGCTTGTAGATGCAGCATCCCAGGCTCTGTCTTCACATGACTCTCTTTATGAGGACACCAGTCATGTTGGATCAGGGGACCCCCTAATGACCTCATCATAACAGTTACATCAGCAGTGTCCCTATTTCCAAATAAGGTCATATTCTGAAGGATGGCAGTTAGGACTTCAACCTGTTGGCGGGGAGGAGGAGGGACCCAGTCAGCCCCAATCGGGCACTCATGGCTTGTCTGGGCATCTGCTCAGCCTGCCCCATCTGCTGGTGTCTGTATCCCCTTGGTCACTACTGTAGCAGAGCAGGGCCCAGTCCCACGGACACCAACATCTCATTATGGCCGTTTGGAAGCCAGTAGGACAATCCGGAATTGTGAGGAGCTACGATTGTGCTCTTCCTTCCACATGTGCATTCCCAGGCAGCGTGGACGAGCCCCGAGGGGTCCTTAACACAGATCATCCAAGGTCTCTCTCACAGCTTGTGCACTGCAGCCAGCAGGGGAGGCCATGTGGTGTGTGGGGAGGGTGCGCAGCCCTCGAGCACAGCCCCAGCTCTGTGGCTCTGCGTGGCCTTTCTGTTCAGGTCCTTTACAATCCTCCCTGGGAAGGAGGTAAAGTGTAGGGTGGCCCAGTTGAAACCCAGCCCCGCATTAACATATTTCCAAGGCGGAGGAAGATTTTAAATAAAGAGGCACCATGGCAGAAGAGCAGCCATAGTTGGCAAAGTTGGATAGTTCAGTGGGTTTATTTTTTTTTTTTTTAAAGGATGACCGGTAAGGGGATCTTAACCCTTGACTTGGTGTTGTCAACACCATGCTCAGCCAGCGAGCCAACCGGCCATCCCTATATGGGATCCGAACCCGGGGCCTTGGTGTTAACAATACCGCACTCTCCCGAGTGAGCCACGGGGCCGGCCCGTTCAGTGGGTTTATATGCAGCAAGCGGTCCTGATGGTGACGCAGCAGCGAGAGCAGCTTGCAGTGAGGCAGGAGGTGGGTGGCAGGAGTCACGCCACTCTCAGCTCTCACTCGCACACCTGGGGGCACAGGGTGGGGCGTGGGCTCTTGGGTTAAAGCCCAGGACAGCACAAACTCAGGATGCACTAAGTAAAGCAGAAATGCCCAGGGTGTTAATCACCATAGCTGGTGCATCCGGCATCAGATATCCGAGGATGCTGACCTGGAGCAGTGGAGGAGGGGGCAGGTCTGTGGCTTTGTCCCCCACACCCTTGCCCTCCACCACAGCCCCCAGTGGGGGGTCCCTAGCAGCCCTGGAGGCCAGCCTGGCAGCCTGGGCCCTGCTCCGCCTTTGCTCTTTGGGAAGACATGTATCCCCTCTCCAAGGGACAGCCACTTCCAGAGCAAGGTTTCATTTTCAGGAAATGTGCTTGCATCTTCTCAGAGGTTATCCAAAGCTGGGGAAGGGGAGATAACCTGGGGGGCTGCCATGGGGAGGCTGCAAGTGGTAAGTAGGGAGAAAGAAATGGGCGGACAAGAGGCCAGAGGGTGCCGAGAGCCGGTAGGCTCAGGAGGCGGGGCCAGGAGCAGCCTGGCGCAGTGCAGGGAGGAGTAACCCAAGTTTCTCACAGACATAGTCACAGGACCATGTGGGTTTGTGGCGTCCTCGTCCTTTGGTCAGCAGTGCTCAGCCACAAGCTGCTCAAGCACATGAAAGCTTTATTCCTTTGCAGCAGGAGGCCCAGTTGATACTTTCCTCAGCATTGCCAGGGCTGCACTGTGCTCTGTCCTGGCTCTCCTTAGGAGCCTCTGCATTCCAGGCAGGGGCAGCACAGGAGCAGTCCTTGTGATGTGTCTCAATGTTCTGTGATGTGTCTCAATGTACCCCTACAGCAGAGGAAGGCTCAGGAGGAAGGCCAAGCAAGCCTTTGCTGAAGGAGTAGGTTTGCTGTGGTTTGTGATCATGTCTGGAGACACCCGGGTGTTCTGTGATGTGTCTCAATGTACCCCTACAGCAGAGGAAGGCTCAGGAGGAAGGCCGAGCAAGCCTTTGCTGAAGGAGTAGGTTTGCTGTGGTTTGTGATCATGTCTGGAGACACCCGGTGCATCCTTGCTGCACAGCAAGGTTGAAGGGGCTGCGTTGGGGGCACAGACCTGAGTTCTGATTCTCTCATTAGCCCCTTGGCCGTGGGCAAGCTGCTTAATCTCTGAGCCGTAGTCTTCTGATGGTGGGGTGGGGATTCTGCTGACCTCATTGGGTTACAGACTAATTGAGGAACAACCAGGAACAGTTCCTGGCACACAGACGAGGCTCAGTAGATGGTATCCCCTTGCTCACGGCAGGACTGGCAGGAAGACCTTTGCAAATCACTGGAAGCTGGAGACTGGTGATTAGACCTGGGCAGAAACTGAGAGGCTGAAGCCCTGTGACTGGGCTGTGGATTCTCTGTGGGGTAGAAACAGGCTAGACATGGGTGTGCCTGCGGACATGGCTGTGGCTGGTCATGACTGACTGGATGTCGCTGTGACTGAGGTCGTGTCATGATTGTGGACATCGAGGAGATGTCTGAGCTCAGCAGAGGCCTTCTCTGGGATTGCTGAGTAGAAAAGAAGCCCACAGTTATGTGGAGAGTCCAAAAAGCAGATGTCAGGAAGGCCTCCTGTAGGGTAGGTGCGGGGGTGGACCCTGCCAGAAACTTCCAACCCCAGGAAGGAGACATCAGTGCAGGCTAATGGGTGTGGCCACTTAAGAGCTGAGGGACTGGCAAGGGATGGATGTGGTCAGGTGTGTAGCTCGGAGGCAGCTAAAGGAAGCAGAGAGGTCTGGGGTCATGGACTTTCCCTGTAGGGTGGGCCTCTGCTCACGGGCTCCCCGTAGATGTGTAGCTCTCAGCACCTGCGAGTACTTACTGAGCACTTCATGACTGTTGAGTGGATGATGAGGGGAAAGTGAGTGCCTCCAGACCCCAAGAACTGTCAAAGGCCACACCTTCCCGTAGCTAGTTTCCACCTGGGTGTATCCCAGTGCTCGACAAGCCGGTCCTGGGGAGTGAAGATCCACCCTCCCCAAAGTCCTTGTTGTTTCTTGAGCACAGAACATAAGGAGCATTTTTATTCTCTGTTTATTTCAGATTCTACAGTTAGGACTGAAAATGGCCAGGCCTGTAAGGTCACAGACTCTCTAAAATCAGAACTCCATGGGATGAGGGTCAGAATCCCCTCACAGGATTTTCCTCAGAGTCCTGGCTTTGGAGACACTTCTGATTCTGAGGTCTGGTCAGAGAGTCATCTGAGTAGCCCTAGGCTGCGAGTAATGGGCTCCCTCTTCCAGAAAAACGGTTTAAACAAGGGGGCTGTGGCCCACAAGGTCTTCACCAAGGATGCTGCCCAGGGACGTAGGGAGCTGGGGGCCAGTGGCCTGGATTGTCAGCCTGGTAAAAGTGAGAGAGAGAGTGCAGAAGGGGCCTCCCAGAGATGCGAGGTGTGTGGCAGAGGCTTCAGACTCACCTCAGACATCGCCCAGCGTTGGGAAGCTGATGGGCAGAAGAGACCTGACAGATGTCAGGAATGCCAAGGACAGTTGCCTGCCCGCCTGCAGGGGAAGCTGCCAGGTAACTGCCGTGGAGAGAAGCCATATGCGTGTGCAGAGTGTGGGAAAGTCTTCAGGCTGTGTTCACAGCTTAATCAGCATCAGAGAATCCACACTGGTGAGAAACCGTTCAAGTGCATCGAGTGTGGAAAAGCCTTCCGCCTGAGCTCAAAACTTATTCAGCATCAAAGAATTCATACTGGAGAGAAGCCCTACAGGTGTGAGGAATGTGGGAAAGCCTTTGGCCAGAGCTCAAGCCTCATCCACCATCAGAGAACCCACACTGGAGAGAGACCCTATGGTTGTCGTGAGTGTGGGAAAGCCTTCAGTCAGCAGTCACAACTGGTCAGACACCAGAGGACACACACCGGAGAGAGGCCCTACCCCTGCAAGGAGTGTGGGAAGGCCTTCAGCCAGAGTTCAACTCTAGCACAGCATCAGAGGATGCACGCTGGGGAGAAATCTCAAATCCCAAGAGCCTCAGACAGTCTGAGCCTTGTTGCACATCAGAGGATTCATGCTGTAGAGAAGCCCTTTAAGTGTGATGAGTGTGGGAAAGCCTTTAGATGGGTCTCGCGCCTTAGTCAGCATCAACTGATTCACACCGGAGAGAAACCTTACAAATGCAACAAGTGTACAAAAGCCTTCGGCTGCAGCTCACGGCTTATTCGCCATCAGAGAACTCACACTGGAGAAAAACCATTTAAATGTGATGAGTGTGGGAAAGGCTTTGTGCAGGGCTCACACCTCATTCAGCATCAGCGAATCCACACCGGAGAGAAACCTTACGTGTGTAACGACTGTGGAAAAGCCTTTAGCCAGAGCTCCAGCCTTATTTACCACCAGAGAATCCATAAGGGAGAGAAGCCTTACGAGTGCCTCCAGTGTGGAAAGGCCTTCAGCATGAGCACACAGCTCACCATCCATCAGCGGGTGCACACTGGAGAGAGGCCCTACAAGTGCAGTGAGTGTGGGAAAGCCTTCAGCCAGAACTCCACGCTCTTCCAGCACCAGATCATCCACGCAGGTGTGAAGCCCTACGAGTGCAGCGAGTGTGGGAAGGCCTTCAGCCGCAGCTCGTACCTCATTGAACACCAGAGAATTCACACCAGAGCCCAGTGGTACTATGAGTACGGGAGTACCCTGGAAGGAGCTCCCTTTGTGAGCCGTAAGAAAGTTAACACCATAAAGAAACTGCATCAGTGTGACGACTGTGAGAAGATATTCAGGTGGCGCTCACACCTCATCATCCATCAGAGGATTCACACTGGAGAGAAGCCTTATAAGTGTAACAACTGTGGCAAAGCTTTTAATCGGAGCTCAAGGCTCACTCAGCATCAGAAAATTCACACGGGATAGACTGTCGATTTATAGATGTGGATAAACCTACAGCCTTAACTTAGTTACTTTATATGAGATCATTTATATTGATGAGAAATTTAGAATGTTGGGAAAGATTCAGAATTGCTCTCTTAAGAAAGAGTATCCAACTTCATACAAAATGTTTATTTGCTGGAATGTTTGACCTTAACCCATTCAATAAAGCCAGTGTCCCTCGCACTCAGGGTGCAATCTGTAGACTTTTGAGCTCACAGTGGGAAGACCCCAGGTCCCTGTGGATGAGGAAGAGGCATGAGGAAGCCTCAGCGAGCTCTGCCAGACTGAGTAGTTTAAAAGAAGTTACTCAGAATGCTTTCCCTCGAGGATCAGTTGCTCAAACTGGCTTCAGCAATGAGGAAATGTGTTTGCTCATGTTAGAGGAAGTCCAGAAAGAAGTACGTAGCATTCCCTTCTGCCGACTTCTTCACCTAACTCCTTTTCTTAAGCTCATCCCCCATTAGGGCAACCCAGGGCCAAAGGGCCCAGCCCTGCCGTCTTCAGAGAAGCAGCCCGGGCCAGTGAGTGCACGCCGCCATCATTGGTGGGGCTGTTGAGCATAGGAACAACACTGGTGTCAGGGCAGGGTTTTGAAGTCATACCTGGGGTCCAGGGGTTTGTTGTGTGACCCAGGACATCACTGCCTTCCCTGAAACAGTCCATTTGCAAGTCTGAGAACATGCACTGTTATAGGTGGTTATGAGAACTAAATAGTGCAGGGACAAGCACTCAAGTACCCTTTGCACCTCCCCGCCAGCAGCTCCGGCTACACCCCATATGTGGACACAGGACCTCTGGGCTGGATGCCACCCAGAGAGGTCAGGACGTGTGTTTATGCTGCATAAGAAATTTTCTCAACTTTCCTCGGCCTGAAACAAACTGCCAAGAACTGTGAGGGTGTGAGGTTTTATCCTTCTTGCGGGCCGAGAGCCTGTTGTTGTTTCATGGAAGTGGGAGATGATGGACGGATTATTCACAGTGGTAGTCAGGGCCACAGCAGGTCCCTTCCCATCGCGCCCACGGGGTGATGTGGAGGGTCTGTTGGGTGCTCACACGTGTCAGCCCGCCAGCCCTTGAGGAGTTATTTTTCCTCAGCTCTTAGTGGTTTCTTCACTGAAATGTCCCAATACGACTGAGAATAAGGCAGTTTGGCCAGCTCAGTAGTAGTAAATCTAAAGTTCTCCATTCCAATCTAGAACAGCAGGGCAGGTGTAGATGAGTCCTTTCTTAGCCACATCCATGTGGAAAAGCTACGTGGTATTCGTGGGCCAGCTCCTACGAATTCAAGCTACTACGTAGGTTTGTTTGAGAGCTGAGTATCACAGAAAATATCTACACGGCCCCTGGCACGCAGAGGGATGGCAGGAGGGCAACACTACAGGGCTACCTGAGGGATAGTGCAGGTTTTGAAATATTCTGTTCTCTTTTCAAGCTGTCTCCCCCAATTTGGGCTTCAGTAAATAGAACAGTGAATTCATTTTAAGAATTTCCAGAACTATATTTGAGTAGATTTAAAGACTTTGGATTTCTGTTTTGGAGACAATAAGCTAATTAAAATAAACCTGTAACTTTGACCTGAAATTGCTTCTTATCTCAGTTATCAGACTAATCTTTGACTTATGACATTGGATTGGAACTATTTTGAGCTTTCTGGAATCTTCACAAATACGGTGCAGAGCCAGGGGCTGAGCGCAGGCTGCTGTACACATCCCCGCATCCCCAGGGCACATGGCTCTCAGCCCCAGAAGTGTTTGTTGAATCCCTGAACGATGCATGTGGAGAAGCATCCAGGCTTTGAGTGCAGGACAGTAGAGACCCAGGGAGGAGAGGAAATCCACAGCAAAAAGTTTCCACAGAGAAGTAAATCAGGCCAACAAAACCGAAGCAGTAATTTTCCAGATGCAGCACCTGTGCTCTGTGGCAGGCCTTGTGCAGGCCCTAAGGGCAAAGATGGGCAGTCTGGAGCCTGCCCTGGAGTCTGAGTCTTGGGGTGGAGAAGCACAGGCAAGGATGGACAGTCTCTGCCTCCTGGGGGGGGCCCTGTGGGTTCACAGGGCTGGCCCTACCCTAGACTGGTGGGAGCTGGGCCAAGGGACGCCCAGCAGTTAGAGCCACCATCCACCTGCCACCTGGTCTTATGCAGCCCTGGAGCAAAGAATGGGTTTTTTGTTTTTTGTTTTTTTTTCCTTTTTGTCTTTTTTTTCGTGACCAGCATCGGATCGCAACCCTCGGTGTTGTGCCCGCACCTCGCTCAGCCAGTGAGCGGCCGGTCTGTATGTGGGATCCGAACCCTCGACAGGAGCGCCACCACGCTCTCAAGCGGCACACTGTAGCAGTGCGCCACCAGGCCGGCCCCAAAGAATGGTTTTTACATGGTTGAAAGAAATTACCTTGCTCAGCCAGTGAGCGGCCGGTCTGTATGTGGGATCCGAACCCTCGACAGGAGCGCCACCACGCTCTCAAGCGGCGCACTGTAGCAGTGCGCCACCAGGCCGGCCCCAAAGAATGGTTTTTACATGGTTGAAAGAAATAGTTTGTGGCACATGAAGTTAAAGTTTCGATGTTCATAAGAAATGTTACTGGAACTCTGCCATGCCTGTCTGCTGATGCAGTGTCCAGCCACACTCAGGCTGCAGTGGCAGAGCTGACAGACCCTCAGGCCCACAGAGCCTGAATGCTTTGCTCTGGCCCTCACAGGGAGAGCCTGCCAGCCTTGGGTTGGAGGAAGTGGGTGAGGAGTCACCCTGTGGCCTCCAAGTCTGCTCCATGGCTGGAGGGATCTTTCAAGTACAGTCAGATCCTGTCTGCCCCGATTAAACCCCCCGCCGCATGCTCCCACCACGAGACCCAAGTCCTGGGTGGGGACTTGAGGCCGGCTGCTGCCCCTGCGCTGGCCCCTCTGCCCCTCGCTCCCCTGCACCCAGGCTTCCCAGCCCATGGGACTGTCCAATATGGCTCTCGCAAACCCTGGCTCCTCGTGCCTCTTCTAGGCTTGTGCCACTGCTTGCCTGTGTGCCCCCTGGAGACACGCTGGGGCAAACCCAGCCTCTTCAGTGACAGAGACGTGAAGAGTTCAGTCCAGGGGCTGAGGACAGGTCTGTGCTCCAGGCCCCATGCAGGGGCTTTGCCAAGCATCCAGGGGAAGAAGGGGGACAGGACCGTCCTTGACCCCACTGTCCTGCAGAGCCAGAACCGGCAAGTGGGAAGGCCAGAATGATTACCAGCTGCCACAATCCCAGCCATGTGCAAACCTACTGAGGCTGGAGGATGCAGGAGGTGGCTGGCCACAGTTCCTAACCTGATGACGTCAGACAGTGCCTGGAGTGGGAGGGGGTAGCTGGTTCCTGGGGCCCAGGGAGGATGCAGACAGGGCTGAGCAGAGAGGGAGCTGCCTAACAGCAGCGCTCAGGCACGCTCCAGGAGGGTGCCTGGGCCCTCATCTACTGACCCTTCAGGTACTGCTGGTGCGCCTGGCACTTAGAATTGTCCATAGAGAGATGTGGAGAAGACAGAAAACTGCAGTGGAGACAAACAGCCAAGCAACCCCAGAGTGCTTCAGGTACTGCTGGTGCGCCTGGCACTTAGAATTGTCCATGGAGAGATGTGGAGAAGACAGAAAACTGCAGTGGAGACAAACAGCCAAGCAACCCCAGAGTGCTCGAGGATGAGGGAGGTCTACAGCTGGCGGGTGGAGGAGGGAGCACAAACCCTGTTCTCCCCACTTTCTGACGCAAGCAATTCTGAGCCTCACCTTACCCATCTATGAGATGAAACACAACCCTCTCCTGTACAGATCTCGGCGAGGCTCCAGTTAGTTTCCAAGGGACAGCTCTGTTCCACTCCCTGTTCCGCTCTTCTGTTCCCACAGCCCTGCTCCCTCAGGAAGGGGCCGGGCCTGTCCCTAACTGTGTAATTCAGAACCCCAGTCCCAGCCCCCAGGGCCACAAGGCTGCTCCCTGGCAGCAGAGCACCGTGGTGAAGAAGGCAGCCCAGGCTCAGACCCCAGGTCTCCACCTGGTTGCACTGGCCAGACTTTGGGGCAATGATCCTGCACAACAGAAGCCCCCGAGTCTCAGTGGCTTTCAGCCCTGAACGTGGTTCTGGTTCCGGGTCTGTGGATAGGTTTGGACTTGGGTTTGGAGGCAGTGTCTCTTCACTCAGGGCCTTCAGGGTGCTTGAGGCCTCCCCTGGGGACAGAACACTGTCTCTCCTGCAAGGTCAATAGGACGGGAGGACATCTGCCCCCGGGAAGCCTTGGCCAGGGAGGGCGGGAAGGGAGGGCAGGTGAACAGTTAACACCAGGCCTCCCGTCAGCTGCGTGACATTGCAGGCTCTGCCTCCCTGCGCTTCCTCTGTGAGGTGGGAACCTGATGCCTTACGGGGAGTTAAACGGGTTGGACGCATGAAGTGCTTGGACGAGAGCCAGTGTGAGCTTGTCTCGCCTGTAACTGTCTGTGCTCTGGCTGCATTACCAGGGCCTGGCCCACAGGGGGCACTCGAAAAATAGCTATGGAATGAAAGTGTAGCGGCCATAAAGGCCTTAAACGGTTCACACTACCTCCTCTGTTCCTACTCCTGAACAATTTCACTACAGAAAATGCTTTAGTCACTAACGTCACTGTGACTTTTAATAGCAAAAAAAAGGAAAACACAGGAGCCCACTATTAAGGGGATGGCTCAAGAAAGTATGGCATGCCCGCCAGGATGGAGTGTTTTGCAACTATTAAACATAACTGTCATACTCAGGAAGAAAGTTAAATGACAGAGCTGTTTTACCACATGAAGACAGACACAGCGTAAGTATAAAGTCGCCAAAAGGTCGAGATGCTTCATAGCTGTATTTGGGCAACGGAACTTTTTAATTAAAAATTTGTTTTATTTACATTTGTTTTTAATTTTTTGTCTTTTTCTAAATGTAGCACAATGAGTACATCATCCTAAACACGTTTAATGGTTGAGAACAGAAGTACATAATGCAGAAGGCTTCCCTTGCCGCTCGAGGCAGACATGACTCAGCTTACCTGTGCTCATCCCTTCTGCAGATCTGGGTCTCATTCCTCCAGGGCAGGAGCAGGGCCCAAGGACTCGGCTGAGGCTGAAGGAGAAACGGGTAGTTTGTGCCCCACTCTCAGGCCCCAGCTTTGAACCCTCCAGCTCTTACACTGCAGCAGCCTCCCTAGGCAGCTCCCCACCTCATCCTTCACCTTGGAAGGGCGGCCTCCTCCTTTCTCTGTCCTTGGGCCATACCAAACTTACCCTGGCTCTCACTCCAAGGGATAAGGTGTTAATTAATTGAGATGGTGGAAGCCAAAGCATTGTAGACAGTCTGTGCAGATAACAGGGCCAGGCACAGAGCAGGGGGGCAGCTGGAAGGTGGGTTCCCAGACAGATGGCAGGATGCCAGGGCAGACACCAAAGGTCACGTGCTACTTTCGGGAGTTCTTGCCACTAGGGCCTTGAGACTCGTGACCTGGTTTCCCAGGAGAGAACAGACCAGATGTGAACCAGAAAAGTGCTCTGCAGAGGCAGGAACTCCACCAGAGGGAACACAGCCTGACAGCAAATGGCCGTGCAGAGAGCAGAGCCTCAAGGCCCTCCTACCTGGAGTGTGGTTATGCCGGAGGCTGCGGAGCTGGCCATGGCTCTTGCACACACCTGCCCTGGACACAACTGGGAGAGGTCCCCCCTCCCTGGCCACTAAAAACTCCACTCTGGGGCCAGCCCGGTGGCGCACTGGATAAGTGCGCCGCTTGGGAAGCGCGGCGGCACTCCCGCCCGAGGGTTCAGATCCCACATACAGACCGGTTCCCGCTCACTGGCTGAGCGAGGCGCGGGGGCAGCGCCGAGGGTTGCGGTCCCGTTGCCGGTCCCCGGTCCAGTGCGGGGGCAACACTGAGGGTTGCGATCCGTTGCCGGACACGGAAAAAGACAAAAAAAATAAATAAATAAATAAAATAAAAAAATAAAAACACTTCTAGCTTTAATACATACCGAGAAGAGCTTGTGGATTGCAGAATAGTTTAACAAGAGAAAAATGAACATAAACAGAAATGGAAATATGACACACAAGGTAACTCTGGCAACAGCCTCTCCACTGACCTCCCGACCTCCTCCCTGCTATATGCTGTTCTCACCACAGCAGCCAACGTTATCCTTTTTTTTCCTTTTTGTCTTTTTTCGTGTCCGGCAACGGATCGCAACCCTCAGTGTCGCGCCCGTACCGGACCGGGACCGGCAACGGTATTGCAACCCTCGGTGTTGCGCCCGCACCTCGCTCAGCCAGTGAGCGGGAACCGGTCTGCATGTGGGATCCGAACCCTCGGCGGGAGCGCCACCGCACTCCCAAGCGGTGCACTGTAGCAGTGCGCCACCGGGCCGGCCCCAACGTTATCCTTTTAACACAATCATCAGCTGGCCTGTTAGCTCAGTTGTTTAGAATATGGTGTTATAACACCAAGGTCAAGGGTTTGGATACCCACACCAGCCAGGTGCAAAAATGCAAAAGATGTAAAACAGTGACAGATCACGTCCCTCCTCTGCTGAAAACCCTTAAGGGCTCCCCATTTAACTCAGAACTGGGCCAAAGTCCTTACAGAGGCCATCAGGGCCTGACCTCTGTACCCTCCACTTTTGCCTCCCTTCAGTGTCCTCCTCGGCTGCAGCCACGCAGGCCTCAACATGTCCGACCTCCCTCCACTGGCAGCCTGTGCACTGGAGGATCACTACGTGTCTTTGCACAAATCCACATCCTCAAGGGAAGTCACCCCGTGGCAGCCCACTTCCCCGGTGACGCCAACACCCAGACCCTGCTGCACCGCTTACCATTCTGACAAGCGGCGCCCGTCATTTCTCAGTATGCACTTTGTAATCCTTCTCCCCACGCCCCACAAGAACGTCAGCTCCATGAGGGCAGGGATTTTAGACAAAAACTGAAAATGCCCAGGCTGAAACAGAACTCAGAAAAGCAAGTGAGCAGAGAGAGCTCAGATGTGACAGGGACACGCTGAGCAACCTTATGGGTGTCCACAGAGGGTTCTGACCCAAATCCCAGACCTCGACTGGCCAGACATGGCCACACCCATGTGCAACAAAGACCAGCAGCCTGAGAAGGGGAGTTTAACACCCACCTACAGAAATGTGTTTTTTACAGTTGCTTTACTTCCAAATTTTTTTAAAAGGCACAGCTGTTCTTTTCAATTAACCATAAAATTACATAATTACTCAAACACTCTCACTGAAGAGTCTGCCTCATGGGAAGGGCAGGGTTCTGGGAAGAGCCGGCTGCCTGCTGGTGCTGTCCGCAGGCCGGTCTGAGCCTCCATCCCCAGCTGACCTGGCTGGGACTGGCGAAGCGAAGGTTTAGTCCTGCAGTTTGCGCTCACACCTCTTCTCCAGATCCGCCATCTCCTTCAGGACTAGAGCCACGCTGTACCGCAGCTCCTGGAACTTGGCCGTGGGGACCTCGAATCGGTGTGCTGACCCATCTGAAAGCTTCAGCTGCACCAGCACGCTCGGCTGCAGGGAGCGGGCTAGGGCACTGGTGGAGATCGCCACGTCCACCCGCCACCGGAAGTCAGCAACGTGGGGCAGCCAGGCCCCCTGCTGCTGGGCCACGGAGTCCAGGAGGGGCCGCTGGCTCCCAAACACCACACTGGCCAAGTCCCCGACCAGGTCTTGGGGGATGCAGAGCTCCTGGAGCTGATCCTTGAAGGCGTCGGGCTTCAGGCTGGCGGGGGGTAGCCGGAGGGCCTGCTGGAGCAGTGCGTGCGTGCCCGCCAGCAGGGCACCCAGCCGCTCCTCAGGCAGGCCGGCGCTGGCCCCGAGGCGCCGCGCAGCCTCTCGGCAGTCCTCCCCCTGCAGGCTGCTGACCACGAGCTTCAGCAACTTCCTGAACGTGCTCCTGTCCACGTCCCCCAGGAGCCGAGCCATCGCTGCCACCTCTGGTGGTAGCTGGGCGCCCAGGAAACTCACCCGGCCACTGTGACTGTCGCCAGGATAATGCAGGTATGGAGCTGCGGCCCCCACGGCAGACATGGCTGCTTCCTCGTCTGGTCAGCCAGCCCAGAAGAGACGTCCCAGATGCAGCTGCCCGCAGGGAGGGGAAGGGGCAAGACAGTGACGCCCGCGTCCTTCGGGCCAGCGAGCGCGGACTGACGTGCTCCGTCGTCAGGACCCTGACAGTGTGGCCCACCGGTGACAGTGTGATGGGTGCTAGGGAGGTGGCCCGGGGAGCAGGTGGCGGAGGGACCCACCTCCGCCCTCACAGAGGAGCGCACGTAACTTCCCCAAATGAGTACAGGGGAAGGATGAGCGGGAAGAAAGGTCCTGGGAGCAGAGCGACACGGAGGCCACTGAACTGCTCGGCGCCGACTCCTCCCGTCCCCTCAGGGCCGCGGGAGCACCT